CAGACAGACAAAACAAATGTTTATAGATATCTAGTAGATTGAGCAAAGGTTGTTGGGTTTACTGAACTCATGATAAGTAGTACTGCATCCGCCCTTAGTTAGTGACACTTAGTGTATTGTGCTTTCAATGTAATTGTATTTGAAGTTTATAGGGTCATAAATCGACTGACAGATAAATGTTTACGGATATCCAGCGGATTGAGAAAAAGTTGTTGGATTTATGTGAAACCCATAAGTAGTACTGTGTCAGGCACATATTAGTTGTTCACTTTCCCTTTTGTACACCCCATAAGAAAATCATAAATAAAAAGAGCAGAATGTAGGCGGATTTTGTTACCTGGCAGATAATCATGAGTGTACCACCAACAAGGAACAAGGGTCTCCTGCCAAATCTATCAACAGTGAATATGGATATAAGTGTGGCGAACACATTGACAAGTCCGGTGATGACAGCTGTCATCAACGCAGCTCCGTCACCAAATCCAAGTGTTTTAAACAGGACAGGCGCGTAGAACATAATGACGTTGATACCAGTGAGTTGTTGGAAGAACGGAACCAGGACAGCGACTGTCAATTGTGGTCTATACCTAGGTTTCATAATGTTACCCCATGGACTTTCGACTTGTTTAGACATGTCGCTTGCTATGATAAGATCCTCAAATTCGTTGTCTACATTGCTTGTACCACGAATCTTTTGCAACATTGTCTTTGCCTTCTCTTTTTGCCCTCTATCGATCAATGAATTAGGCGTGTCTGGTAGGAAAACAGCTCCTACTGTCATGATAACAGCAGGTACAGCCGCGAGAACAAGAGACACTCTCCAACCGTTTTTCTTCATGGTAGAGGTACCATAATTGACAAGATTCGCGATCAGTATGCCAAGTGTGACAGCCATTTGGAAACAGACGTTGAGCGCTCCTCTAAGTTTAGGGGGAGCCATTTCTGAGAGGTAAACGGGGACAGATTGGTTGGCATAACCAATGCCAACACCTAGTAATAGGCGCCCCAGAATGAGTACACCCAAGTTCATGGCTGCACCATTCAGGACGGCGCCTATTAGGAAAATTAGACCACCGATAAGCATAGAGATTTTTCGTCCAAATGCTTTAGTGGTTATTGAAGCTGCAAATGAAGCAACTAATGCTGCTAAATAGAGTGATGAAGTGAAGAGTTGTAACATATGATCATTGAATTTGCAATATTGGCTTCCTCCTTCTTTCAAGTTCTTCTCCTTGTGATACACATTTGGGAAAAATTTGAGTAAGAATTCATCCATAGATGTCACTCCTCCTGCAATTTTTGAAGCAAAATCAAATCAACAATAATATATAGACGAAGGTACGAAAAGAGAGGGATTCAAAGAATAGACGTTTTACTCTCTGTTCTTGATCTGACATACTTTCATGGTAGTAGATAGAGGATGTGTTTGGTACGACTAAAAATGTATAGGCGAAGGTATGGCAAGAGAGGGATTCAAAGAACATCCATTTTACTATATGTTCTTGATCTGACATACTTTCACGATGGTAAATAGAGGATGTGTTTGGTATGGCTAAAAATGTATAGGCAAAGGTATGACAAGAGAGGGATTGAAAGAACATCTATTATAAAAAGGCATTTTACTGTTTGTTCTTGACATACTTTCACGATAATAGATAGAAGGTGTGTTTGGTACAACTAAAAATGTATAGGCGAAGGTATGACAAGAGAGGGATTCGAAGAACATCAATCATAAAAGACGTTTTACAGTCTGTTCTTGAGAGGATGTGTTTGGTACAACTAAAAATGTATAGGCGAAGGTACATCAAGAGAGGAATTCAAAGAACATGACGTTTTACTGTTTGTTCTTGATCTGATATACTTTCACAGTAGTAGGTAGATAGAGGGTATGTTTGGTACGACTAAAAATGTATAGACAAACAAGAGAGGGATTGAAAGAACATCGATAATAAAAGATGTTTTACTATCTATTGTTCTTGATCTGACATACTTTCAAGATAGTAAATAGAGGACGTGCTTGGTACGACCAAAAATGTATAGCGAAGGTATGACAAGAATGGGATTCAAAGAACATCCATTATAAAAGACGTTTTACTATTTGTTCTTGATCTGACATACTTTCTCATAATAGATAAAGGGTGTGTTTGGGACGACTAAAAATGTATAAGCGAAGGTACTACAACAAGAGAGGGATTAGAAGAATGTCCATAATAAAGACATTTACATTAAAAAATATTATACATATTTTTTTCCCCACTTACCTTCTATGTGTATACTGAACACTGATAAAAAACCAAAAAAAGGGATAAAAATATATTACCTGAAATACCAATGTCATAACCAAAGAGTAAACCACCAGTGGCTGCAACCAAACATGTCATAATAACAAAAGCTGTAACTTTTCCTTCATAATCACCACCTCCACCACCACTTGCTGCAAATCCTCCTGCCATCTTTTTTTTTTATGAATTTATCGAAAATAAAATCTCTAACTTTTTTCTTTAAAAAATTAATTAAAATAATAAATAATTATTTAAAATAATTTATATACAAATTCTTTTGTGAGTTTTCTATTGGATAGTGGTGTGGATTGCACAAGATTATTTTCAAGGGATATAAGAAACAAAGGCCTTTTTTTAAAATATAAATTTCAATAAAATCTTTTTTTTTTCTTCTTGAAAGACCTTTGGATTTTTTTTTCTTTGTTTTGATAATATTTATTTTCCCTTGTTCTACATGAGCACGGCAAACTTGTTGCCTGCTCTGTCTCTTTTATTTGCTTGTTATTTTTCTAAAAATAATATAAGGTATTTATAAGAGGTGAAAATTATGAATTATCCACAAAATAGGGCAAATTATTAGGAGATATGAGGATGGAGAGAATTGTAAGAAGAAGAAAAAAGTGAATTTTTATCCATGTATAATGTTTGTGGATGATATTAATTTATGATAATTGATTTAATAAAATTTTAATTGAAATCAATAATACTAAATAAATAGATGAAGATGCTTATTTCTTTCCACCATGCATGAAAAATGGGAGTAATATTAGTTATTGTTTGGTGAATAAAATAAGAAATCCGTGTGATACGTAAGTAATAATATTAATCATGTCAAATTGTAATTTAACTTATTTGTGCATTTGATTTTATATATATATATATAACAAAATCTCTATGAAAAAATTGCTATATTTTAAAACTCTTATCATATAGCTTGGAGTTATTTCATTGTTTAAATTAATCTATATACTCTTTAGGTATTATTTTTAGGGAAAATTATGCGGATAAACAAACATATACTAGTTAATTAACTAACATAATTATAGTTTGAATTAATTATGGATCGCAACTTAATTTTAGTTGTAATTACGTCATCTCTCTCCCCTCTCCTCTTTTATACATATACAAATACAAATTATACATATACATATACAATTATATGACAGATATACAACTACAATTAGCCTCTCTCCACTCTTTGCCCTCTCTCGCTCGGCTCTCTCTCTCAATATCGCTTGCCTCTCTCCTCCCTCTAACAATCTCATTCGCCAGATATACAAATACATATGTATACCAGTTACATGTATACAATTATCTGACAATTATACATATACAGTTCGTCTCTCCACTCTTTTCCCTCTCTTGCTCGCCTCTCTTCTCCCTCTCCCAATCTCGCTCATCTCTCCTCCCTCTCTCAATCTCGCTCGCCAGATATACAAATATATATATATATGTATGTATGTATATCAGTTACATATGTACAATTATTTGACAAATATACATATACAATTCGACAAATATACATATACAATTCGTCTCTCTCGCCTCTCTCCCCCTCTAACATGTAGCTACGAATCATAATTAACAAACTATAGTTATGGAACACAATTAAGTTATTTTTGAGTGGCTATAAGCGAAAATTCTCCCTTTTAGATTCACTATATTTTCACTTTTAATTTAATTAAGGCATAAATACATTATATTATCTCTTTTTTATTTTCATTATTCAATTTCTTTTGGTTTTGGCTATTAGGGCTTTAGTTACATGGTCTTATCTGTTGTATTATTTTCCTTATCTTATCCTAATTCAAAAATATTATCATTTCAAACTCAAATAAGTTTTATCCTTCTATTTCTAAATTGAATGTTATTTTCTAAAAGAAAATCATACCATGCTTTCAATCTTAAATTAATTACACTCCATCAAATATATTTATTTTTATCTTTCAAGTCAAGTTCAAAAATTAACCACATTCGGTTCAAAAGATCTATTACAATGATATATTAATGTCCAAAAATAAATAAATAAGCATGATACATAAATATGTCATTTAATTTGGCTCTAGATCACATTTATGCTCTCCGACTTTCGATGTGCACAAGTAGACACTTAAAGTTATATAAAAATGAACAAATATACACACATGTCATATGTGACATCCTATGTGACAATTTTCATCCTACGTGGTGTCATATGTGTATTATGCTACGTAAGACTCAAATGTATACTTGTTCAATCTTATACAAGTTAAAGTGTCTCCTTATGCACACCCAAAGTTGGAGGGTACAAATGTGAAACGAGGCTAAGTTAAATGACACATTTATGTATTATGCCAAAAAAATAATCTTTATTTTAAAACTCTTTCCCTTTTAAGTCTTGGTGTAACATAGCCCGAAAGACAAATCCATCCAGGTCTAGGTACGTGTCATGGACTTGGGTCGTGAGGCTTGATGTGACGTAGCCCGAAAGACAAATCCATGTAAGTCTAGGTTTAAAGGAAACAATACGTGTCATTGACTTGGGTTGTGACAATTAACATCTAATAGGGTGCTGGCCCAGCACATAAATCAGAACTGTTCTTAAACCACAAGGAAATAGTATAAATTGAAGTTAAGAGTCAACTGCTTCTACCATAAAAGGGCAATCTAATGCACAAAATATTTCACGTTAGCAGATAAAAGGAAATGCATAAATATGATCATCCTCTCTTTGAACGGACCATATTACATAAATCTGAAATACACAATTATTTTCATCTTATAGACAGCTCAAATATACAAATCCAAACAGCTTCGCGCCATTATACAGCTAAAATATACAATGCATCCTCATTATTCTTGGCTAAATCAAGGAAGCAAATCAATTTATAGGCAAAAACAGGATAAACAACAACGACAAGACAAGAAAATTCCTCTCGTCGATCATAGACTGATGAAGATACCAGAACGGATAAACTTTTCCCTGAATATTACGCGATAGAAACTGTCTTTAGAAGTCCATCAAGATACTCCTTGAGTTTAACTTTTGTTATCGCGCCTTCCCTTTTGCTGTCTGGAACTTCTTTTCCATCTTTGAAGAGAATCAAAGTTGGCAATCCATAGACTTTGTACTCTTCTATGAGCTTGGGACTCGCGTCATGATCTATCTTAACAACAGTGATCTTTTCTTTGTACTCCTGAACGGTAAAAGTAAAGGAAATGACGTTTTAGGGAAAAGCATTTACTTCAAACATCAAGAACAAGAAAGACCAGAGACAGAAATCGCTTAATGATTCAAGATTCAACACAAGAAGACATAACTATGTATCATTATGCTGATGAATTGAAATAAAAAAGAGCTATACTAAAATGAGAAGAGCTCTCATTCACTAGCTACTGCATGAAAATTTCTCAATCTTTCGTCACTTGAAGTTCTATTTTAAACTACAAAGCTGTCAATCAATCCACGGTATCCTCTGGCTAGAGGCTTTTGGACATTGGACCAGACACATAATAGCTTTTGGACTTTAACTCTACACGAAATGGAAAAAAAAGCCTCGACGAGAACATTTCAATAATTCAAGTTAAGCAAACATCACAAAAGATTTTTGAGCAAAAAGAAGAAGATATCTTCCATCATACCAAACACATCTTTTAGCAGTTTAACGTGCTCATTGAAGAAAAAATTGAATCTTTAACTCTACATGAAAGTGAGAAAAGGCCTTGAACAGAACATTTCAATAACTCAAGTTAAGCAAACATCAGAAATGATTTTTTAACAAATAAAAAGAAATTCCTTCATACCAAATACACCTTTTATCAGTTTAACATGTTCATTCAAGAAAAAAATAATTGAATCTTTAACTCTATATGAAATGAGAAAAAGGGCCTTGAATAGATCATTTCAAGGCATGGAAATGATTTTTTTAGCAAAATAAAAAACAAATATTTTCCATCATACCAAACACTCTTTATCAGTTTAACATGCTCATTGAAGAATTTCTTCAAACATTTCAATATGAACAAAATACCTCTCATAGAACAAATTTCTTCTACATGAAATGGGAAAAGGGGTCTTGAACAGAACATTTAAATAATTCAAGTTAAGCAAACAACAAAAGTGATCTTTCAGCAAAAGAAGAACAGAGTTAATGGTCAAAAATACACTTAAAACTATTACTTTTTCACAAGTTTCATACCTTAACTATCTATTGTTCCATTAACCTACCTAAAGTATCACTCTCTTATTGTACTAAAACACACCTTGACGCTAAGTTGATCTACACGTGCATGTTGTCGAGTGGGAATAATATTTGGCCAACTAGCATCGAAGTGTGTTTTAATGCAAAAGGTGTGATAGTTTAGGAAGGTATAAAACTAGCGAAAGAGTAATAGTTTAGGTGCTTTTTTGACCATCAACTTAAACAAAAGAAGTCATTTTCCTTCACACCGAACACACATTCATCAGACATGCTTATTGAAGAAACAAATTGACAAAGGGAAATTGAAGATTTAATTGAATAGAGCTCCAATAACACAACATAAAGATTGTGAAAAGAAGAAGAACATGATTTGTCCACCCCATTTTCCCAACGCGAATCAATGCAAAATTTGTGTTACAAAACATGGTTTTCCCACCAAATCAGTTCATTCCTGGAAAAACGCATTCTCATTGAAATATTGGGAACAGCTACTGAATATTTTTCCTTTTCTTACCTATTCAATCAAAATATCTGCGGAAATATGGGAAATTTGTATCACAAAACATGATTTTCCAATTTCATTCCCACCAAACCAGCTCAAAAAAATGCATGGTGAAAAACAGATTCTCAGCCACTAAACATTTCTCCTTTTTCACTGCTGAGGGAACAGTTCGCCGAACATTTTTCAATGAGAAATTTCAATGGAAATATAGTGATTATTAAGCAGTGAATTATTAACGAAGTACTAACTTTCTGTTCTGATCTGTATCCTCCACGACCTCCTATCTAAGATTTAATTGAATATAATTCGAATAACACAACATAAAGAGGGAAAAAAACGAAGAAGAAGAACCTCAGCAACGGATTCCATGGCAGGACTAATCAAACGGCAAGGTCCACACCAAGTAGCAACGAACTCAACCAGTACAGGACGATCGGACTTCAAAACGACGTCGGAGAATTCATCTTCCTTAATCTCCGCCAATCCACCACAGCTTATCCTCAATGTCGAACAATTTCGAAACCCTAACTTTCCCCTTCGATTTCCAATCGAAAACCTAACTTTCTTCCAACCTAAAGAAGAAAATGAAGAACGAAAAGGAGAAGCGAAATTACAAGTTGTATTGAAAGAATGCGTCATAGGATATGAAATCCTCGAAGTTGAAGTAGCGACGGAAGCCATTGTCGCCATTGTTGAATGCTTCGAGATAACTTTTTCAGTTATCGCTAAAGAAGAAGGTGTTTCCGGTCCACACACATTTTCACTATGTTAGGCTGAAATTTCATGCTGATGCACACCAAAGAACGCAGGGAAAAAGGACAAACACCGAACTATCCTAAATGGTATGCAAATACCATCCGTCATATTTTTGGAATATTAGTGCCCCATCCGTCATATTTTTGGTATATTGGTGCCCCATCCGTCATATTTTTGATACATTGGTGCCCCACCCTTTATACTAACGGATACACACGTATCATAATTTTATCAACCGATCCGATATTTATTAAATATCGAATTAACGGATAAGATTGTGTCACGTGTACCTATTTAGTCTTCCGTTAGAGTGAAGGAAATATATGCTCTAGTTTATTAACGGCAGGGGCACCAATGTCCCAAAAATATGACGGAGAATATCAACATACCATTTACCATAGTTTGGGGTATATTTGTTTTTTTTTTCCCAAGAATGTATAACATAGTATCTAGTGAGCAGGTGTGAGAGGTTAGATATATTGGGAACAAGGAGAGGCAAGAGGTGATTAGATAGAATATGATGTATTTTTAGAGGTGATTAGATAGAATATGACGTATTTTTAGATGAGGGCGAGGTGATTATATAGAATATGATTTTTAGATGAGGACATGACCTTAGATAAAAGGATGTTGAGGTCACAAATAAGGTTAAAATGTTAGTAGGTAGTCGAGCATAATTTGGTGTTGTTCTGAAAGTGGCGGATAAGGCTGTGAGAGCTCATATAAAAAAGACATGTTAACAATGAGATTCAAACTCGGGCTCAACAACACTAAAAGAGCCTCAAACACCCATCCAAGAGTCAATGGACTAGTCAAATCATTTGTTTATTTGATGTTTTATGTTAATTTTATACAAATACTTCATAATTTCTACATATATATTTCGAGACGAGGTTAATGGGTGCTCGAGCACCCGACGGACTCTATGTGGGTCCAACCCTGGTTGTATACTAAGAATGTATAACATAGTCTAATGATACCCCGTCATGTAGTATATTTTAAGTTGTGTTCGGAAATAACTTCTCTATCTTTTCATATGGAGGTGTGAGAGGTTGGATATATTGGGATCGAGGAGAGATAGAGATAGGCCGAAAGAAATATCAACAAGAGGTGATTAGATAGAACATGATGTATCCTCAGATTACTAAGGACACAACCTTAGATAAGAGGGTGTGATTTGTGAAGATCGCAAATAAGGTTAAAATGTCAATAGGTAGTCGAGCTTTGTTTTAATATTAATTCCATGTTGCTGCATGCCAAATAATGTATAACATAGTCTCCAATGATATTCCGCCATGTAGTATACATTAAGGTGTGTCGAAAATTATTTATTTATCTTTTTATGAGAATAGGTATGGAATTAGTTTAATTATGGAATCATGAACAGTCATTAGTCGAATCAATGTTAAACACTATAATCTATAGGAAATTATGTGGAAGCTTTGTAGAATTATTGTAAAGTTATGTGATTAGAAATTGTTATCTATTATCAAAGTTATCTGTGTACTCTATAATATAGAGATAATCCACATGCATAATGGAGAACTTACAGAGTTTTTGAAAGATTATTTTTGAGCACTAGGATGAAATTTGTTACCTTTTTCAAACTTCACTTATGAGATAATATTCAGTATGTTATTATTCTTATCCTTTAGATACATCGTTCTAGTTATTTTAGATTGTAAAATTCAAATCTCCTTCTCATCATCAATGAAAAAATCGTGACATTTACCTTAAGAAAGCGTAATAAAATATCTGCTAAATTCATGGAGGAAGTCAATAAAGTTATCAACAATTAGGATCATTAGCGGGATTGAGAAGGGGACCTAATATGTTGAAGTATTTGATAAATGAGTTACTTTATCTTTAATTTAAAATTTAAATTCAATATAATGAGATAATATTTTTTTCCCATCATTGGTGTTCAAGTAAAAAGTATAATAATCCATTCAAAACTTTTAGAAAAATATTCTTCAATTTATCATTTCATATATCATATAGTATAAAGTATATAAAGTATATAAATATAGCGAGATAATTATAGATAAAACAATATAACAACTTAATTACAAATGATAAATGCTTTTTAAAAAGAAAATAATAGAATTCTATGAAGATGCAAACGTGTCGAAACTCTATTGGCTAAAACCCAGCTTAGATTTGGATGGCCAGAAAATGTGCAAACGTGGCTCCTCAAAATCTCCTATGTACCATTTTATGTGAGTATTACTTCTTCTTTTTTTGGGATAAATTTATTTATTCATTTTTGCAAAAAAAAACTTATAATTTTCATTCAGTATTCAATATTTATTTTGGAGCATAATAATCTAAATTCGCATTTGGAAAATCTCACTTTTAAAGGGCAAATCGCTTTCTAGTAAAAATGATTCTATATTCATTGTTTAAACCAGTGTAGTTAAAAAAAAAGAAGTATTTACCATTCCACTATAATTCTTAACAATTTTTGTAATTTTAATTAATCTATTTTATTTTATTTTTACATTTATTATGAGGTAAAAGGGTGTATAGTCGACCTTTGTATTTGTACCAGTTTGTATTGTGAATCCTTTTACTTACTCATTTGTCATCTCAACTCCTAAACTCATTTAAACTCAACTTGTTGAACCGTTTTAACTCATCATGACTCTCAATCACGCTGATGTCATACTCCATGTCAGATAAAATTTGCCACACCATTTTTTTTTATAATATAGTTTTGATGCAATTTTTACAAAATAAAATTTGAATTTATTCTTTTAAATTAAAATTTTGGGTCTCCCCACATCATCATTATCACTGTTAAATAGCCCAACCACTGGAGTAAGTCACCACTGCCACCACTCCTCTTGCCGGCGAGACCACAAACACGTACTCTCTCCCTCATCTGTCTCCATCTTCGTCGCACACCCTCACTATTTTTCTTACCTTTTCCTTCGCCAACCTCCACAAATCCAAAACCATAAGCCGTTGCCACCAGCTCCTTACCCTTCACCCACCTCGTTTCCCTCTCCATTGTCTTCCTTTCTCCGTACCATCGACGACTCCTGCGAACCACCAGGGACCCCTATGTTCTCCATCCTCTCCGGCGTACCAGAAGATCAGGAAACTCCTCGCTGCTTCCGGCGTACCAGCATGCTCCTCGCAGCCTCTGGTGTACTAGACCACCTAAAGAAGATGAAAGAAAGAAAAAAAAAAAGAGCTGGGCAAAAATGGGGATGGCTGAAAAAGTAGGTGATTGGGTGAAGAAGAAGGATTTTTTTTTTTAAGTTTAATATTTTATTCTCTTGTAATTTAAATATTTTTAAAATTTAAATATGATGTTCACTTGCCTTACCAGGCATGTGGTCTCACTCTCTTACCAGCATGGTCAATGGTCGGAGGAATTTGATATATTGTGGTTTACTAAGTGTAAGGGTTCAATCGATAAAATATTAAGTAGAAGGATCCATAATACAAACTGGTACAAAGTACAAAGGTCTATTATATCATTTTGCCTTATTATCATAAAAAATGCAAATTTCTTTAGTTAAATTATTGTTGTGCAAATTATATGTTAAGAAAAATGACTTGAACACTAATGTACAAAATTATATTTATATAAAAATAAAATAAAGTACAATTTATCTGCATATTTTGAATACTGTGATTGGTGAAAAAAGTAATTTGTTATATTTTAAAAATGAAGAAAGAAAACAAAAATCAGAAAATTAAAAATAAAATGAATAAAATTGAATATATGAAATATTTTTTATTTTTCAATGATAGAAAACGATACAATCTATTTAAATATTATATCATTAAAATAATATAATTTTTTCGTCCACTTTTAATTGTCATGATTTCTTTTTTTAGAGTTAAACGATAAGAACTTTGACTAACATTTTACAATGTATTTTTTCATCATATTGATATGCAAAAAATTGCAAATTATAAGTATTTTTCGTATAGTTTTTAAATATCTAATTTTTTGTTTAAAATATTGAATTAATGAAATCTAATTTCACTTTAAAAATTAATCAAATTGACTTTCAAAAAATACAATGACAATTAAAAATGAACAGATGACACAAATGCATAAAAGAGGACACAAATGATCAATCTCAAACTTAGTGGACCATTTTAGCTATAAAAAAAGAGTAACTTTCACATATAGCAAACACAAAATTCATATTTGTATGTTATAGCAAAGTTTGCATAATTGTGCTTCATAGCAAACATATATATGTATAATTCGCTATACATATACAAAAAAAACAGTTGTATAATTCGTTATACATATACAAAGAAGACAATTGTATAATTCGCTATACATATACAAAAGAAAACAGTTGTATACAAAAGATCTATTGTATAATCTGTGTATGTACAAAACGAGAAAGAGAGAAAGGCAAAGAAAAATTTGGCAGGGAAATATTTGTATTGTATAATTATAAGTGTATATGATGAAAATATATGTATTTGCATGTGTATATACAATTTTCTCTTGTTTTATACAAACAAAATCGCAATTTATACAATTCGTTTCTGCTTGTATAAGCGAGAGAGGCGAGATTGGCGAGTGAGATTCCACCAGAGAGAGTGGCGAAAATAGCAATAATTTGCTATAGGATACAATTAAATCAAAGTATATTTATAACATTTAATTTGAATTAATAATTTGCTATTATATACAATTTTCCCTAAGAAAAAAAATCCCAAAACAAATTTTGTACTAGAACAACTCACAGTCACCGGCGCCGGCACAATTTCCTCCGGCATCGCGAGACCAAAAGAGCGATGAACAATAAAGACGACGAAACGCATAAAGAAGAAGAAGGAGAAGAATCGCCATCTCACTCTCAGCAAACAGGTAACGATTATGTTTGTAACTGGTAGAGCTTGTAGAAATTTTGGGGATTCGCCTAATTATGTTCATTCACCGTATGGGCGAAATCGAAATATCTATAGTGTCTTTAATGCTCCTCAAGCTAATTTCTGTTCTCGTATACATTAGTCGTATG